CTTGAAGTGGGGGGAATGGACTTGTGCTTGGGGGGAATTTGATTTGGGCTAGAAGGGGGACTTTTTTGGGGGTGGGGATTTGAGATGGGGGCATATGAGAAGAGAGAGGATTTGAGCTGTGGGGATGGGGGGCACAGATTTGTACTGATAGTGGGGATTTCAGCAGGTGGGCGGATTGGTACTAAACTGAGGGAAGAATTTATGTATTGGGGGTAGTTATGCAGATTAGCGCTTGATTTCTTTTTTGGTGGGGGGAGAGATTTTTGTAGACACATAAAGCTCATACATCTTGGGGGTTGGCACAATTTGGCATCTCGCCCTGAGCTCTAGAAGACCTTGTCCCGACACTGGGTGGAGGACATTTCAAGTTGGGAATTAATTAGCAATTGGTCCTTTTGGATCTTTTTATTGGCTCACTTTTTTCAATCTGACCTTACAAAAAAATGTGTTGACTGCTACCCATGGACAGCAGAAGCAAGGCAATCATGCAAGCAAGATTTGACTTCTGTCCAAACTGCAGACCTTCTGAGCAATGGAAATGCTTCAAAGATGCACATGGTGATTTGTTGTCCAAAGCAGCCATTATACTTCACTTTTCATTTTTTAGAAAACATATTAAGAGTTTTTTTGTTGTATCTCTGAGGATGTGAGTGTGCACGAAACACGTCGGGTAGAGCCTACATGCTGAGGTCATGCCACCGTTTCCAAGGCCCGGATTAGCAGCCATCTTAGTATGTCTGGCCATAATTTTTTTTTTTTCTACGTGGGATATTGTCTATGATGCTTTAATCTGAGGATTTTATAATTAAACACTACACTATATACTATCCTCCTGGCTCTGGGTGGTGAGCGTGTTTCCTTTCAGGAACCTGGTTGTACCGAGAGTGGCCGGGAGGAGGGACAAGCGGAGATTCCCTACTGGATGAATTACAGGCTATTTAACAAGCAGCCTTCTGGTGGTGAAAGCAAATTAAAAAACAAAAGAGGGCGCACCGGCCTAGAGCCGTAAAAATATTTATTGAAATGATAAAAAAGTAGGTATCATACTCACAATGGACATATAAAACACAGGCATATCACAATGATCAAAGGTGTTCAATCCACATCTGAGTCCACAACGATGGAACCCTGGATGACCAACTGGCTGACGCGTTTCGAGAACTCAGCCTCTTCCTCAGAGCCACCTGGTGGTGGAAGACCTTGCATAGGAGAGGAGCACTTTTATAAGATACAACTCTGTTGGGAATTGTCTTCACTGGAATAACCTTTGAAGGACTTTGATATATTATTGCACCTGTCACTGAAGTATGATATATGGGATAACATGGATGGGTTGACACTGGAAGGATCATGTTATATCACGACACTGAGTACTTTAATTCAACTTTTGATGCATTGATTTAGAACATTTTATTTATTGATTGATCGATTTTGGATTGTCACACATTTATGTGGATCATTTTGATATATTATTTATGCACTGTTTTGATACATTTGTATGAAGAGTTCTATTAGGGATGAGCCAAGCAGACTTCAGGGGGTTCAGTTCAAGGCGCAGCAGGTTGGCAGATCATAAGTAAAGTTTCAGTTACTGAATCCCAATGAGAGACAAATATTAAAAAAAAAAAAAAAAATGTAGGGGCTCGTTTACACTGGATGCAGTTTTGTTAGGAAAAAAAGTTTCCCTCCTGGATGTGTACATTGCTGAGATTCTAAGAAACTTAGTTGCAGATCCCTACCTTTTTGTTATTCTGAAGAAATATCTGTTTGTATCCATGAGCAGAATGAATGTGAGTGACTTTATAATTATCAATCAGCTGCTGCCCCTCTAATGAGGAAAGTGGCAGGGTCTGCATTCCTTTAGACGAGATTTGCCTTTGGGAGTATCTCACCAAAAATGACATTTTTGTTTCAGGGGATGCCCAAAATCTGATTTAGTGCAGACCTCTGGGAAAATCAGTGAACGGATCACACAAACAGGAAATGACATATCTGGGGGGGGGGGGGGCGTTCTGCACACCAACTATGTACAGAATGCCTCCGGGTAGCCATATTGCATTACATTTCACATAAAATGACAACGCTGCAGATTGAAAAAGGAAAGGACATTTTTAATGGCATTCAATTACAATTTGACTTGTGTCGCAATTGTATATTCTATATTATTTATTTTTCGCTTTTTTTTTTTTTTTTTTTTTAACCACAAAACCAGAGTTGCCCTTAAAACGCAAGGTAAATGCAGAACAAATGCATAGGCAAGAAAAATGGATGTAGTCTGATGAGCCGCGTTTTATACCATTACAGTGCTTTCACAGGTGCTTAACCATTTGCCCTCCTGAGGATTTACCCCCCTTCCTGACTAGGCCATTTTGTGCGTTATGGCGCTGCGTTCCTTACACCGCTGCGTTCCTTTAACTGACAATTACACGGTCATGCAACGCTGCACCCAAATAAAATTTACATTCTTTTTTCCCACCACTTGAGCTTTCTTTTGGTGGTATTTGATCTCCTGTGCATTTTTTATTTATTAATTTTTTTTACATTTGAGAAAAAAACTATATTTTTGACTTTTTGCTATTAAACATGTCCAGTAAAAAAATTAAAAAAATCTAATTTTGTTAAAAAATTTAGGCCAAAACGTATTCTGCGATGTGTCTTTTGCTAAAAAAAAATCCCATTGGTTCCCAAATCTCATTGGTTTATATGAAAGGTGTAGCATTTACAAATGGTGGTATATATACTGGGATTTTAATTTTTAATTTTTACTAGTAAAGGCGGCGATCAGCGACTTATAGCAGGACTGTGGTGGGCATTCTGACACTGGGGGGAACTGACTTGGTGTCACTGACATCCCCTGTGACACCAATACAGTGATCAGTGCTAAAAAAAAGCAAAACATTTTCTGCGACATGTCTTTGCTAAAAAAAAAAAATCCCAATATGTGTAAATTAATTGGTTTACGTGAAAGTTATAGTGTCTACAAATGGCGGTATAGATATTAAGATTTTTATTTTTACTAGTAATGGCGGCGATCAGCGACTTATAGCAGGACTGCGGTGGGCATTCTGACACTGGGGGGAAGTGACTTGGTGTCACTGACATCCCCTGTGACACCAATACAGTGATCAGTGCTAAAAAAAAGCAAAACATTTTCTGCGACATGTCTTTGCTAAAAAAAAAAAATCCCAATACGTGTAAATTAATTGGTTTACGTGAAAGTTATAGCATCTACAAATGGCGGTATAGATATTAAGATTTTTATTTTTTATTTTTACTAGTAATGGCGGCGATCAGCAACTTATAACGGGAATGTGGAGGGCATTCTGACACTGGGGGGGAAGTGACTTGGTGTCACTGACATCCCCAGTGACACCAATACAGTGATCAGTGCAAAAAAAAAGCACTGACATTGTACTAATGGCACTGGGCAGGAAGGGGTTAAAAAAAGAGTACAGCATGCTGCATTATTCTGCGCTAAAATACAGCACAAATGCAAGTAAATATATGCAAACTCATATAAATGGGCTTGAACGCTTGTAAATGCACATAAAAACATAGTAAAAAATAATAATGATAATAATAATAAATTAAAAATGTATTCCAAAAAAATGCAGTGCAAATACATGTAAATGCACTGCAAATACACTGAAAGCACACCGCAAATGCTCGCAAAAGCGCATGCAGAAACGTACAGTGAATGCAGAGATTGTAGCGTATATGAGCCCTAATGGCCATTTCCTAGGCTATCAAGCAAGAGATTGTCAAAGAAATGATATGGAGGGCTGGCCACTGCCCAGGGAACATACCTAAGCACAAAAAAAGAAAAAAAAAATCAGTTTCAGGGAACAGCGATTTTAGAAATGCTTAAAGCCAAGGAATCCATTTATTTATACCAGACCCTTATCCAGGGACATCCCTAAGGTTGGTGTCACCCGGTGCGATAACACTTGGTGACACCCCCTCCGAATGGATCGGATCTGCGGATTGAGCATAATGGATCAGACTCTGATCTATTATGCTCCCCAATCCGCAGATCCAATCCATCCTGAGGGGATCGTCTGCATGCAACCTATACGGGGGGACACCGGACCAGCTCCACGAAAAGGTAAGTTGTAAAGGAAGCCGACGATCCCTGCACGATGGATCGGATCCATCCTGCGGGAATCATCGGCTTGCTTTACAACTTACCTTTTCGTAGAGCAGGTCCGGTGTCACCAGGTGCGGAGCGTACCCCCTTACCAGGGGCGGACTGACAACTCATGGGGCCCCCAGGCAATAGGGGATCATGGGGCCCCTGTGTCCTTGCCCACACTAAAAGCACACCCAAAGTAGCCTATAAAAGGTACCAGGGGCATTTCATGGGGCCCCCTACTGACCCCAGGCCCTCGGGCACTGCCCGAGTGCTCGAATGGTTAGTCCGCCCCTGCCACGCACCTGCCTCGGGACGCCACTGCCCTTATCCTAGATGAGGGTCTGTAATAAATGTCAATGAAGGCCCCCCCACACAAAAATAAATGGCATGGCATTCCCCTTAAAACTTTCCTCTTAAAAATACAGTATATACCAGACACACTAATGCGGGACTCCCCCACACACACAAAAAAAATGTGGAATTCCCCCTAAAAATACATAGCAGTCCCTTATCCTTTTATGAGGGTCTGGTATGGATGTCACCGAGAAAAGGTGTGATGTACCGACCAAATTCCATACCAGACCAGAAGTGTCTGTTATGAATTTTAAATGGGCAGCACATACAAAAAACATGAAAAAAGGCATGGGGTCCCCCCAAAAATCTATACCCAGGGGCGGATTGACCATTTGGAAACTCGGGCACTGCCCGAGGGCCGGGGGTCAGTAGGGGGCCCCATGAGATGCCCCTGGTACCTTTTTCATAGGCTTTTTTGAGTTTGGGCAAGGACACGGGGGCCCCATGAGTTGTCAGTCTGCCCCTGTCCATACCAGACCCTTATTAGAGCATGCAGTCAGAATAGGAAGGGGACAAGTGGGCAGCGCCTCCCCTCCCATACCTTAATAGGTCACAACATGGGTCCCCTTGGAAAAGCACCTTGTTCCCATGATAATGAGGACAAGGGCCTCTACCCTGAAACCCTCGCCCGGTGTTTTGGGGGATCTTATTAGAATATGGAAGCCCTGTTTAATTATAAGTGGGCACCCAGATACTGTCCCTCATCTGAGTACTGGGTACATACTACCTCTACTCATTCACAAAAAAAACTATAACAGTAAATACAGCCATACTTTTTAACAAACCCTTAAAAAAAAAAAAAAAAGCCCCATGAAAAAAAGTCCTTGTCCCCATGTTAAGATGCTTTGGGGGCATGTGGCCTAGTATGGTTCAGGAGGGGGGGGGGGGGCGCTCGTTTGCTCCCTCCTCTTTCCTGACCTGCCAGGCTGCATGCTCAGACAAGGGTCTGGTATGGGTTTTGGGGGGGGGACCCCACACCATTTTTTTTTTATTTGGCATCCATTGAAGCATATCCACATCATTTATGATGACTGACGCCCAATGAAGGAAAAACATCCTGACGTCCAATGCTGTCACTGACTAGGATCGAATGACATCTCCCGAGCCCTGCTGCTAAAAATTAGCAAATGGCTGGGGGTTCCAGACTGACGTCCTATGGTCATATTTGGTCATTGATGTCACACTGTCCCTGCCCCTTTGTTCACATGTTCGATTATTCCTGGACAGTAAATGAATGGGACCAGGTGGCATCGCTGTTTGCTTAGGACACGATGTGTGCTGCTTCCTTAGCAGCATTGACAGATAGGAACAGGGGCGGACTGACCATTTGGAAACTCGGGCCCTGCCCGAGGGCCCGGGGTCAGTAGGGGGCTACATGAGATGCCCCTGGTACCTTTTTCATAGGGTTTTTTGAGTTTGGGAAGGACACAGGGGCCCCATGATCCCCTATTGCCCGGGGGCCCCATGAGTTGTCAGTCCGCCCCTGGATAGGAAGTTATCATAGTGTAGCACCCCTCTAGTTAGCTAGGGAGAGCTAGCTAGTTTTTTTTTTTTAGATAGAAGGGCTGAGTAGTAGCCTGGGCATGAGTCAACTGTGGTCAAATTTAGGTCAGGGCTGAGGGCTCTGCAGGTCAGTTCTTTGATACCTCCCCCTGATCTAGAGACTTGGAGAAGTCTCTAGAACTCAGTGGGAGGGGTTGAGGAGGGGCTGGCCTGCACACTTGAGGGGCTCTGGCCAATCCCCAAACAGGAGGCTTGGCAAGAGGCCAGGGCAGGTTTTATGTGTGACAGAGCCTGCTCAACATCAGGAAAGTACAGGTGGAAGATGTAGGAGAGGTTGAGATGCAGGAGTCTGCAAGGGTGCCCAGTGGGAAGAGGACTACCTACAGGCTGGGACCTGGAAGGGAGGATCATTTAGCCTCACTGGTCCCCAGAGAGAGGACCATCTATGAAGCCAGGGAAGGAGCCAGCCCAGCAGAAGGCCTGAAGGCAGCCACCAACTCAACAAGCTCACAGGAAGAAGAATGGGTGAGTAATCCCACACACCCTGGGCCAGATAAGGGGAGAGGGCATTCTGGTGGGAAACCTGACTGCCCCCCCCCAATCTGGTACTGTCAAAGTGGCAGATTCCAGGTCCCCTTGCTCAGGGATTCCCTCAGGCAGCTGGGTGAAGAGGAGAATTCATCTGGGGTTCGAGGTGGTACACCAAGAGGGCTGGAGAGCCCTCCAAGAAGATACATTTTGTCTGTGGACTTGTACCTAATTGCTAAGGAGTTGTCCTCAAGTTGCAGCTTCCTTGGGCATCCCGTACCCCCCTCAACCCTATCGAAGTTCAAAACCTCTTAATAAAACCTAAAAAAAAACAACCTCAAGGACTGTTTACTGTCTCCAGTGTGCAAGTGTGGAAGAAAACGTGTGTTGCTTTTCTGTGCAGGACTATAGGGGGACCCAAAACTCAGCGACTCCTAAGGGGGTAGTGCTACATGAGAATTGATGGAAATACCACTACTATATTGTATATGACCTTCAGCTCCTGTAGAACAAAAAAGTTCACATGAATGGCCAAAGTTTTGTCTGATGTTTGAGCTCATCCCTATTGTCCATGGCAGACATTGTAGTTTTTTTTGTATTTTGTTTTTAGAAAACGTATACTGGAGTTCTGATTGGTTGCTTTGAAGAACGTTTCCAGTTGCGTTGTTCTTTTCTTTCCTCTGGTGTTTCTTTATCTTCTCCTTGGAGATCTATCCCGGGATCGGAGTAACATACGTAATTTGTGTTCTGTGCTTCCTACCATCCTAGAGGCAGCTGCAACCCAAATGTGTAAAACTGTCAATAAAGCTGGGATGACGTTCCTCCCGTGCTGTGATGTCGGTTCTGCGTCTATTTTATTGTCCCTGTAAGCACTATTTACTAGCAGGTGCAGTATGTACATGGGGGGGGGGAGTAGAACCACATGCTGAGCTGCACAATGCTTACATAGTTTCCTATGAATTATGTTGCTGACGTGGATGGTTTGGAGTTAACCTCTTCCATCCTAATGTATCTGAAACCAAGAATTTCCTAAACTACCCTACTAAAAGATGCAAAAAAGGACTTTTACACTAATGTAATGAATTAAAAGTCTTTACCTTCAGTCTTGCACAGTTGTACCGGCTCATCTCCTGGACTGAAATGGCTTACTCTGATTTCACTGCACACTGTGAGCTTCTCACAATGTGCATTAGAAGCTGCAGCAAGTCAGATAGAGCCCGCCTCATTTTCTGGATGGAGGATGCCTCATTCTCCAGCCTGACTGTCCCTGACCTGCCCCTTTCATTCATTGGACTTTAAGTGGTTGTAAAGGCCAGGGGCGGACTGACCATTCGAGAACACGGGCGCTGCCCGAGGGCCCGGGGTCAGTAGGGGGCCCCATGAAATGCCCCTGGTACCTTTTATAGGCTTTTTTTGAGTGTGGGCAAGGACACAGGGGCCCCATGATCCCCTATTGCCTGGGGGCCTCATGAGTTGTCAGTCCGCCCCTGGTAAAAGCTGAAGGTTTTTTTGCCTTCATACATTCAATGCACGAAGGGAAAAGCCTTCTGTGTGCAGTAGTGCCCCCAGCTCCCTGAACACCTACCTGAGCCCCAGCAAGATCCAGCGATGTGCATGACAGCCTCAGCTGCCCGGGGTCTCTGCATCCTCATTGGCTGAGACAGCAAGCGGAAGCCATTGGATCCCCACATGGAAGAAAAATATATTTGAAATATATATTAACCTCTTCACGCCGGCCGCACGCAAATGTGCGGCCTCCTGGCGTCTGGGCCTTGACGCCGAGAGGCCGCACATTTTGCGTGCAATTAACAAAAACATATGTGCTGAGAGCGCGTGCCCTGCGCGCTCCCCGAACACATGTTCGGTACTCACGGAAGGGTCCCGATCTCCTCTATCGATTGGGACCTTTCCCGATCATGTGACCGACGTGACAGCGAATCCCAAATATATTGACAGATATTTGAAATACTACAATTTTGGCCATATTAAATATATATATATATATATATATATATATACTGTATGCACACATACATTCATACCTGCTACAATTTTGGCCATATTAAAAAAAAAAAAAAAAAAAAAAAAAAAAATATATATATATATATATACATACATACCTGCTACAATTTTGGCCATATTCAATATACTTCAAAATATATATAAAAATAAATAAATAAATATATATATATATATATATATATATATATATATATAGCATGTTGAAATGTGTTTTTATTACAAAACATCTGAGAAATATTTTTATAAATACATTTTCAAATATACTGTATGTCTTTAAAAATACAGATCTACAGTTTTGGAACGCATTTACAAATATATGTAAAAATATATGTTAAAATGACTTTTTTATATGTTAAAAAAATCTGAAGAATATATTTTAAAAATACATATTTTTTAAAATATTTTTTTTTAAATATATTCTTCAGATTTTTTTGAACATATAAAAAAGTCATTTTAACATATCTTTTTAAATATATTTGTAAAAGAATTCCAAAAATGTAGATTTGTATTTTTAAAGACATACAGTATATTTGAAATGTATTTTTAAAAATATTTTTCATATATTGTGTAATAAAAACGCACTTCAACATGCAGTATATATATATATATTGAAATATATTTTGAAATATATTGTACACGGCCAAAATTGTAGTATTTCAAATATATGTCAATATACTGTATTTGAGAAGAATATTTTTTAAATATATTTCAAGTATATTTTTCTTCCATATGGGTCCCGCTGCTGTCAATCACAGCCAGTCAGCCAAGGAGGAGAGAGACGGGGAGGGCCAAGCTGAGGTTCCGTACGTGAATTTAAATACTTTTTTCTTAAATAAATATTTTGTACAAATAGAAAAAAAAATATATATACTGTATATTAATTTTAAAAACCCATAAAATAAAAAGTGGATATAATTATAAAACTAAAAAATAGATATAAAACATCAGCTTAAAATGCAGCTTCTTTACGCCTTGTTAAAGGGGGCTTCCAGATTCCGATAAGCTACCTCCCGCACCCTCACAACCACTAGGTTACCAGCCCCCCCCCCCCCCCAAGGCAAAGTGTCCACCCCACGTTAAAGGCACATGGCCTGGTATGATTCAGGTAGGGGGCTGCTCCCTCGCCACCCCTCCTTCCTTTCCTGGCCTGCTGTGCTGAATGCTCGGATAAGGGTCTGGTATGGGTGTAGGGAGGGCCCCATATAATTTTTTTTTGGTGTGCGGTTCCCCTTAAAATCTATAGCAGACCAAAAGGCCTGGCATGGATTTTGGGGGAGACCCCATTTTTTTTGGCTTGAGGTTTCCTGCAAAATCCTTGCAAAATCCCAAAGGGTCTGGCAGGGGTTGGGGTAAGACTCAAGAATGCAGCCAGAGAGAAGGAGAAATGATTGCTTTTACAGCCTTTATGGGTGTAAAAGCAATCAGTGTAAAAAAAAAAAAAAAAAAATCTTCATCACCCCTCAGAAGTAGTGCAGTGTCACCCTGGTGACACTGTACTGCTAGGGTGACAGTATGTAAAAAAAATAAAATAAAATAAATAATAATATAAAAAAAAAAAACAAAATGAAAAAAATGTTTAAAAATTATAATTTTTGTTTATAAACTAATTTGGGTTATTTTTTTTTTTTTACTAAAAAGATAACAGAATAAATTTTGGCCAAGATTTATGATGAAATACTATTTATTTGCAAACTTTTATAAGAAAAACACTTTTTTAAAACATTTTTTGGACTTTTTCATTTACATAGCAAAAAAAATAAAAATTCCAGTGGTGAATAAATACCACCAAAATAAAGCTTTATCTGTCTCAAAAAAAATGCTAAAAAATACATATGGGTACAGTGTTGCATGACCGCGCAATTGTCATTCAAAGTGTGATAGCGCTGAAAGCTGAAAATTGGCTTGGACAGGAAGGGGGTAAAAAGTGTCCGGACTGGAAGCGGTTAATTTGCACACACAAAAAAGTATTTTTCCTAACAAATTCATTCGAGACCATGTTGCAAAAATGAATATACCCCAATGAAAGTCTTAGGAGCAAAGCTACATTTTAGACAAGATCCTAATTAACAAGAATTCAACTCCAGATGAGTCTAATTGTTCATTAGACAGTTGATTATAAAAGAGCATTGCTTATTTATTTCAGGTACTTATATAGTGCCATCAATTTACGCAGTTCTTTTACGTATATATTGTACATTCCCATCAGTCCCTAACCCTCAAGGGGCGTACAATCTAAGGTCCCTAACTTACATTCATATACAAGGGCCAATTTAGACAGGATCCAATTAACCTACCAGCATGTCTTTGGAGTGTGGGAGGAAACTGGAGTACCCGGAGAAAACCCACACAGGCACAGGGAGAACATGCAAACTCCAAGCAGGAGGTGCCGTGGCTGGGATTCAAGCCAACAACCCTAGTACTGCCAGGCGGAAGTGCTAACCATTTAGCCAGTGTGCTGCCCTAACTTAACACAGAAAACCCCTCCTATTTCATTCCGCTTGCATTTTGCCCCACAGAGCCTGTCATGTAGGCAAGGGGCTCCTATGATTTCTAATGGAAGCCCTTCATGGGTGTGTCCAGGAGTCCAGGGGAGGATGGGAGGTGGTGTTAAAGGAGCCAAATCCCAGTGCAGATCAGTCTACACTAGTACTTCCTGTTTCAGGCTGACAACACAAAGCCACTGCCTTGCAATTTGCAGCAGCATTGTCAGCCTACCATGACTTGGCCACTGGGCTGCATATCAGGTCTGCGGTAGGCATATGCATTCCACCAGCCAGCTGAAAGAGTCAATAGGCTGACAATGCTGCTGATAATTGGAGGACAATTTATTTATTTCAGGTACTTATATAGCACCGTCAATTTACACAGCGCTTTACATATATATTGTACATTCACATCAGTCCCTAACCCTCAAGGGGCGTACAATCTAAGGTCCCTAACTCACATTCATACATACACATATTAGGGCCAATTTAGACAGGAGCCAATTAACCTCCTTAGCGGTATTCCCGAGTGTAGCTCGGGGTAAAATTTCTATACCAAAAGCGGTAACCCCCGAGCTACACTCAGGCTTACCATGCGGCGCTGTTCTGGGAGTCCCTGCAGCACTTACCTTGTCCTTCGCTCCCACTATGTGTCCCCTGCAGCATCCCCGGCCATCTCCTCCGGCCGATGCCGGCATCCGGCTTCTGTGTTCCGGTCCCTGTGACGTCGGAACGTACGGGAAATTTGAATTTTTTAAAAAATGTCATTTTTGCTGTCATTGCTATTTCAATGCATTTCACATACATTTTGTCCCGAGTGCTTTGTCCTGCGCCCTGCCTGCATTTTGACTGTTCTTTCTGCCTGGAAACTGAGAAAAGTCCATGGCGTCCAAAAAGCGTCCCTTTACGTCAAAAGCGGTTTTAGACCAGCTAGAGAACAGCGATAGTAAATCAGAACCACTTGCAGAATTGAGTGATAATGATTCGTGGGGGAAATTCCTCATCAGACACTGAAAACGATTTTGCGACTTTGCTCAGCGATGTGCGAATTTGCCTCTGTATTTCAAATTTCAGTGTTTTTGGTTTGATTATATTATTGAATTAAATGTATTATTATTATATTATTATTTTTTTATGATTATTTATTAAATTATAATTTATGATTTCGTGTTTCAAATTTTATCCTACCCAGGATGTTTACTAGACTCTTGTTCGGACAGATTTCAGTGAGTTATTCCTAAAAATTACAGCCTACAATACAAAACTACATATTTCCATGCAAAAAAATGGTACCGCTTTCAGCACAAAAAATCAAACCGCCGAGGAGGTTAACCTACCAGCATGTCTTTGGAGAGTGGGAGGAAACCGGAGTACCTTGAGGAAACCCACGCAGGCACAGGGAGAACATGCAAACTCCAGGCAGGTGGTGCCATGGTCAGGATTTGAACCAGCGACCCTAGTACTGCCAGGCGGAAGTGCTAACAATTTAGCCACTGTGCTGCCCGTTTTGCGTTGCCTAAAATGGGAAGTACTGGGGCTGGTGGGATCTCCACGTGAGTCATGGCACCAATCATACTTAAAAATAGATTTTGGGTTTACATATACTTTTAACATATCACCCAAAGGTGTATCAGACTTGAAGAATCTTTGTTTTTCATGCATCATCTGAGTTTCCAGTCTATTTCTTGGCTGTACTGAAATCTTCGCTTGCTGCGTCCCCGGTTGACTGCACACTCGGCACGCCTGCCCGTATTGCAATCGTTTTGACAAATGAAAAAAATCCAGCTTGGTCGAAGAAGCCTGTGATTATACACTCATCTCACAGGTATGAAGGACACCATGACACCACCAGCAAGTCCTTCTCAGCAGACATTATTCCGCCAAGTCCAAGCTAACAATATTACACCGGGCACAGATTGTTACCTTTCAGTCCAAAGACCTTTTATTAGGAA